CGACTTGATCTGACACTTGTCCTTGGTGAAGGTTGGGTCCCAGATCGTGCACGTGTTGGCTTTGCCGTCCCACACACCGTCGCAGACGCGGGAGCTTAAGGAGGGTTGGGTGCACGTTCCCACGGGCGAGTAAATGTACCACGTGCTCGAAACGCCCCCCATGTTGTTGACTTGGCTTTGTAAAATTGAAAATGAGCACATTCGATGATTCCGTATCGCAAGCTTGATGACAAGGCTTCATACATATACGATAGACCAATATATCATATCTCGAACAACCGTTATATTTCGTCGACACTGTATGTTCACCTCGCCTATAGTCGTGCGTATACAGTGCAATCATCAAGCGTATCTTTCAAATGTCATTTATCGCAACCTTTGGCCAGTCGTCGCGTATAACCGCAACAATTGACGCTTTGCTACAGATATGCTGCCCATAAACCTGGGCAAGAAGCTTTGCTATAGATGCCTTACCTGGCGAAACGATTAGCCAGGTTGGCAGTCGCCTCGGCTTGAGTTGTTCGATGGATGAGGTATCGAGGGATAACTTTATAGTGTCGCATTATTGGGACCTAGTGCAAATCCTTCGGTATATGGCGTGAGGGCCACTCCCACATCTCGAGCCAAACTACCAGAATATGGTGGCTCGCTTGCACGTTAGGATCATTGTCGAAGGGTTCAAAAAGTCACAGGTGCGGTTGGTCTAGTCTGAGAGAGGCAATGGTGAAGCATACGGTGATATCCTAGCTCTCCGATTCCTTCAGTGACCCTTCGAACAGTGGCATCATAATCGCCGAATGGAAGGGGCAACATGTGAATGGTAAAATTGCTTGCAGGGCGGTTGCCACATAGCCAGCGCTGACGTCTGTCACCTTTGGATTCTCCAGTACGTTCAATGTGTGCAGTCGAGGCAAGGCTGCGAAACCAACTCCAAGTCGAAATCCCCGAATGTTGCAGTGCTCTAGGCGGAGGATTCGAGGTTGGAAGCTGTCGGAGCGGCACGAAGATCACACTCAGCCACCCATTGCACGTGAATTGACAGCGGGATATCGAAAGTTCTCTTAGCGACGTTGATCCATGCATACCATTGCCCAATAGCACAGGGGCTTTGGGGGGGAAAGGTGCAATCTGTGAAACGATGCGTTGCCAACGACCAAAGCGGACCGTAGATTGAAGTGAATGCGTCCGCTACTGCTATAATCGTATACGTAAGGTGTTTCAGCGTCGGGCAATACAGCAACATTTAGTACAATATGGATTCGAACGATACCACTTTGAGGGTCCAGTGGAGCCCACCAAGAGCCCCAAAAGGAACGGACGGGATGCGACGTAAACATATCCAATCGGTCATAAAGGGGCTACGGTAGTCCACTTGACAAGTACCTTGGACGTGGCCGCAAAAGCAAACATAGCCAAGTGTGACTCATCGACAGGTCAATTTCGAGTTCTGTCACATGCAACATCACCAAGAAGGTCCTTACGTCGACGATAGTGGGGGAACGAGCACGTCAACTTAGTTGCGTGTTGTACACAGGTTGGTGTAATAGTCTGCAGCCACAAACCCACTCAGCACTGAGTGGGAGGTGCAGTCGTAGGCAACGCCAGTCGTCCCAACTACGAAACACGACCACACCCTTGACGACATGAAGCATGACTTCCAAGTCTCCGCAGTAGGAACGTAGTTCACTGGGCGTGCGCGACAGGAGGGGCCAAAGGGCTTCCCTTTGACAAGACACTCCGTGCAACGTAATTGTGCCACACGCCAAGGTCAAGGTACATCCGTAAGACCCCCAAAAATAGTTGAACATTGTGAGGGCATCCTCAATTCACGGAGGAGCTTGCAGAACAAGTCCGTTGGTAGCACTATTGGAGCGCTCCTGTGATTTGAACCCCCTGCCGTTTGTCGAATACTACGGTGGGGAACGGGTTCAAAAGCTCAGAGAAGTTGGCCCTCTTGCAACTTGTATGGCACCCGTTGGCGGTCTGTAGTGGAGCCAATACGCTGTTCCGTGTATACTCAAGGTAGTTGGATTCAATTGCTTTTGATGTGGCAAGAATTCGGGGTCATGATAAAGGGTACTTACTGTTAAAAGTAAAAAACATTTTTGGTTGTCAATCCTGGCCCTATACAATTGAAATTGTGTTGTTACACAAAAGCGCCGTTAGTCTATTGTCAAAGGGTATAGATTAACAAGTATTAACAAGCTAGTCCTAATCTTGCCGTGTTGTTACACAAAAGCGCCGTTAGTCTAATGGTTAGGATTTCTCCCTTCCAAGGAGAAGGTCGGGGTTCAATTCCCCGACGGCGCAAATGTTTTTCTTGCAGGGCTTCGAAATATGCTTGTACAAAGATATGAATACCAATACTCCACCGAGCCAATTCCACAACTCAATGGGTTTAGTAGTTACATGCGAGTAAGCTTGGCACTGCACGGATTCGGCTTGTCTTGCAAGGGCTGCACGATATGACGGTCCTGCACCACGTCGGGCGTGGGTAGGCCCGTCCGCACATGTTTTTCCAACTTCTCATGCTTTTGTACGTTGCGGGGTGGGAAGTCGTGAAAATGCTTCGGGGCGTAATCGTTCGGCGAGGCATCCACGAGCCCCCGTCCGTGGTGTGTTCGCTCTACACCCCCATCATACGTCAGACATATGGAAATATACTAACTACCCTTTGAGACGTACTTTGCTCCATGGTTGAGAGCAACGCGTGGTATTTCTTCTCGACTTGTTCGTGCGATTCTTGAGACGGATGGGGCGCCTTGGCGTCCGTCGACTCGCTGGGAACACTTTCGTATTAGACCATGATAGGGGGTATGTCCTCAACGCTGGGGGTGTAGCCGCGTTTACCTCAAACTAGTGTCGGTCGACGATACAGATACATCCGAAGGCATCGTCGGAGGAGGGGTCACAGGGTTGCTACTATTGCGGTCCATGACGGCTAAATCGAACACTGAAGTGGAATGATCTCAAGCAAAACTCGTCAACGGTCTATTCCGTGATTGGGCAAGACATCAAACGAGCATTGGACAACATATGGACACACTGTTAGTCCACCAATCAAGTCACTATACTATACTACGAGTATTATAGTTGACACATCGACGATGTTCAGGATGCACACGCTTGATATAAGTATCACCGGTTGTTGGAAGTTTCTGTACACACCTTCACTATCATCTATCGACGAGCACATTCTACTCCATTGTGGTGTGTGGTAGTATTCGACATCTTTAACCTGGCTGGCTCAAACTCGCCATTCGTATTATTGTTTAGGCTTGAGGCACGGGTTCCAGTCGAATGTCCACGTGCAAATAGAGCGGTTTCACCGTGAACAAATGCACGCGCTTCTTGGCCACGTCGCACGGCTTGGTGTACAACTCCAGCGCCAGTGGGCCGCCCCCAGCTTTGATTTCGTCCATTTCGAGCATCGCCCAGCACCGCACGCTTTTCTTGCGTTTGGCCTTCTTGTAATGGACAAACTCAAAGTAGATGGTGCTATCGTCTACATAACAGTGTTTTAGTCTGCCAAGACAACACCTATACATACTTTGGCGCAACACGTGCAAGTGCGTGCGCAACTCGATGGCCGAGTCAAACATTATGTACGGCGCCACCCGCCCCACAGCTATCGACGTGTCCTGCTTCTCCTCGACGACCACCAAGTCCTTGTCCACGACCGACACGACGATCTGCGGGTCGACATACCGCTCGACGTCTTTGAGCCCGATCTTTTGAATCAATATCGTCACCACATGGGGCGTGTCGTCGTCTGCTTTGTCCGTTACGTCGCCCTTGCTGCTGTGGCGGCGCTTGGACGCTTTGGCGGCGTGCTGCGGCTCCTCCCGCAATGGCAGCGAATCACGAGCGCTACATGCATCGAAGTGTCATGTTAGGGTTGATTCTGATTGAAAAAGAAACACTTGTGTGTGTCGATGGTGCAAGAAAAAAACTTGACACACGAATATGATAGTTGTGGTGTATACATACACGGGCGCTGGAATTGGCGCCAACTCGGCCAAGTCTAGCGGAAATACTCGCGGAACCTTTCGCGTAACGCTGTTCAATACTATACATCAACATATATAATTACAGGGTCAATGCAACAAAAATATGAAAGTTTAACATATGTACATACCTTGGAGCAGCACATCCATGTCATCTTTGTTCGGGCGCGGGCTGCCATCCACGGAGCTCAAGCCCGTGGCCCGCAAGTTCATTGTCACGACAACCTTTTCTGCTATGTCTTGTTGGTCGTCGGTGAGCCCCATGGTCGGGAGGTCGGCCAGAATCACTTCCGCCGCCCTACAGGGTATTATGATCAATCCAACGATCCCTCCGTTTAGTGACATACTTTTCATACGCCTCCACCGCTTCAAGAACTTGGCCCCATCCGTCAGCTTTGACCGCTTCTCCCATCAGCTGTATCCATTTCCGATGCCGCTTGGCTGCGTCCTCGCCGCCCATTATTGTCGGTCGAGTGCTGTCGAATGGTCGCGACCTTTCAGTAAAATCGTCAAATTCCGGACAGCCGGATAATATTCGATAGTAACCGTTTCGTTACATATCAACATTGCACTTTGGTAACATTCATTGATTGACCATTGAATTTCAGTTAACGTAAATCGAGAAGCTCGATGCATTCAACGTAACGTTAAGATTATACTCTTCGGGCCATCGACGAAGTTACTCAATCCTTTGAATCGTAGAAGCTGCAACTACACTGTACAGGTTTAACACGGTGACCAGTACTAGGTAGTACTAACTCTCCAGTTCGAACGACAGATACTTTAGCATTTGAAAGGGTTCTGTGGCTGGCTGGCGTATGAGTCAGTGTTCAATTCAACAGCATCATGAAAAAAACAAAGAGTATATGGGCCGCGACGCGATTCTATTACCGGCTGATGTGATGTGCTCCAGCACATTTCATTGTTCGTTGCCGACCCTCACGACTTTTTCAACTTACGTTACCTCGAGGCCTTCCATAGATGTCCCGACCTGCTTGGGCTCCTCGGTCACTTCTGCCTCTTGGCTGAATCGACGATATGGCGGCACCCGAGCTGTGGCCTCGACTGAGGCGGCATCCCCCCGCCTGCCATTTGACCAAGACATTGTTGAAAAGTCTACATATCCTGCTGACACATTATGCGTCAACGAGTACAGTATTGCGGACGTGACCATGACTACATGTGACACCGTGGCATATCCATCATCAATCTTGGAGCAAATCGTCGTAGCGATGGCCAACGAAGTGCACGTCAGGGTTGTCAAGGCATCCCCATCGTCGGCCGTACGATACCGTGCCAACAATGGATGGAATGTCCTTCACTCTTCTGGGGACCATTGTCCCATCAAATCGCGAGGTTCGACGTTCCGGCGGCCACTGTACGAAACGCCAAGGCTTGGGACGACTTGATAGCTCAAATTCCTTGCTAGGATGCACTGGAAGTCTCTTTCGACAGCACCGAGCCGCCCACGTCCCTCCAACATCGTTTCGGCCACAAACCCTGCTACCCCAAGCACCAAGTTTATCATCACACCTTCAGTGCTTGACGACGCATTGCAGTGGCTGTCTGTATCACGAGTAAGAGTTGTCGACTGTGTTTTGACGAGCTGTGCCCTCCTCGCGATTTCTACTGGCTACATCCACCACCGTCCAGTCGGTTACAGTGACCCGCAACCCGTCGATTGCAGTCGACGGCATGTATGCGGTAGCTGAGGTGCTATCAACCACCCAATTGCGGCGGCTTACGCTAACCCACACAAACCGCTATCTGATGCAGCGTGCTGTACGTGCTGTGTGCCGGCGTGTCGGCCACACCTTCGGTGCATTATCTGACCATTCGACAGGAGTCGAGGGGACTCGCTCACCGTTGTGGCTGCCCACTTGCCATCCATGATACTAGTACGTCTGCGGACTCTAGCGTATTCAGGGGACACGTTTGGCCCCAAAGGCTGCAAGAAATTGCTAGCTGCAACCTTACAGCAGCCACGACATCAACTGCGCTTAATATCCTCGACTTGTCGGCCAATAACATCACCTCCGTTGGAGCTGCATGGTGGCCACAAATCTCGTTGAACGTAGCTGGGAAATCTATCTATCTATATAGAGGTTCGGCTGGTGGCTACAAATGAAAAATAGATGTACTAGTTATCAAAAAATTGACCAAGGGGATCCACATGATCACCAGTACGAAGTCACCAATTCGATCGGCAGTCTGATGTACACGACCGAATTTAATAGAAGTACAGCGTAAAGTTCACTGTTTACAACATGTATAAAAGTGAGCTCGTCTTGTTAAATTTCGGTGGTTTTACGCTTTCGCTACTGGTGCTGGTACTGGTTTTCGCAGCAAAATCAAGTCGTTTCGACGTCCGCCATCAGATTTCACAGGCAACGACACCAGCGTCGGAGGCTGTGGGCATCCACCATCCATTGGGAGGCTACCGAGTGAACCTGGTCGCTCGTACATCGACTGATCATAGCTGCACCTCTTGTCATGGTCGTAGTTGTAGCGTGGCAAGGGACTCGGATAGCTGTGGTAGTAGTCCCAGTGGTTGGCTGGTTGGATATACAATGGATGCCCTTGTCCATACATTGCGTACGATGCCATGTTGTCCCCAGTGCCTTGTAGATCGTACAATCTTTTGGAGGTAATTATGTTCTGCGGGTCCTGTCGAGTCGTAAAAGGGCGTTCGACAGGCCAACGGGTTGGATGCTGCTGCTGTTGTCGCCCCAGAGTGTTGTTAGGGGTTTGATCCTGTCGAAACTCGTCTACTTCTCGGTCAAACAATGCGAGGCGGGGATTACTTGGCTCGAAATCAGCACAGCTTGATGATGCATCTACCATTATATATATATATATATATATATATATATGAATATATGTGAATATATATGAAACCATGCAATAGGATTGATATAGAATGATAACTTTGCGGCTGTGCCAACGTACGTTGGGGTGTCGACGACGATGGCCAAAAAAGGGCTTGCCGGTAACTTGGGCCCGACCCGAATAAGCACGTTGTGCACACTCTAGTAGGTTCCTGCCGCCCGCTAGTACTACTACCCACATGTTCCGTCAAGATGCGGCAACACGACTTGCACACGACCTATATATAACTATAAATACGATTTAAATTGTATATTTGCTTATTTAAGGATGTAGAAGAAGTTATATTTGTACTAAATTTTAATAAAAAATAACTAAAAAAAACTTCGAATTAAAATTTATGAATAATCCCTCGACAGTTGAGACCAATGTATTCATCTTGAACTATACGAAGTAGTTATAGTTGGATTCAAGCACAAGTCCATTTGACAGGATTGAGTACCAAGGACAATAAATAGTACGTAGTACTAGTATCAATACTATTGTCAAATCGATTCGAAACCGCAAGCACAATCCATTGTCTTGGCAGAATCTGGCGAAATCCTGTCCAAATTCAAAGTACGTATACCAGGACAATACCAATATCAATACCTCTCCACACTGTTGACACGACCATTTCATTCGAAACGGCCCAAACTTGTGCTGACACAAGAAACATCGACGTCGGCTTGTCTTGTCCACCAAAATCGCGTCGGAAAAAATCATAAGCGCCATCCGGTTCTGCCGGACAAACATTTCAATGTGCTCGATGGAGCGGGCGCGGCGCTTGGCGCTGAACCGCTGCAGCCACGACGGGAGGTGTCCCCCCGTGTATAATTGCATCAGTTGAGTCACTTGGAGCACTCCTGGGCGGTCAGATTCGACGAAAACGAACCCCACACGGTGGTATCGCCCTCTCACGAGCCCCAGCGTCGGCTCCAGGTCGGGGCACGCGGCTAACTCGATCGATTTGAAGCATCGCAACCATCCCCGCTTGCCGTTCAGGTCGAAATCATAACGCCCCTGCACACAACCATCATCCATTTAGCGAACTAGTAGTAGTATTACTAGGCTGGTACTACGAATAGTACTACGACGAACCCCCGATATCCAAGTCAGTAAAACAAATCCAATGCCCACACCAACAATAACGTTACTATTCATAGGTACCTCTAGTACTAGTAGTTTTGATGCAATAGCATATCATCGACAATTGTAATCAACTATTGTTGTGGATTCGGTAACAATGTGAATCGACTCACGAATCGACGCTATTGGCTAATAAAATTTATCTTGAACGGATCTGATTGGCTCTTAAAGATATATTCAGCCAATCACAAGTTCCAGCGAGATTCCATATGTGCGATATTTTTAACAATACACCAAACTAGGGACCTTCATTCATGCAATCAACCACAAGACACGAAATAGTGATGGTCGTTCGTTCGTTCATAGAGCAACGGACCTCGATGGAGCAAAAGTCGCGGTGCTTGATCACAGCTGGCACCGGACTCCCTACAACCATCCACCGCACACCCAAAAAGTGGCGAGGGTTGGCTTCGCTCGACTGGGCCAGTGTGTACAGCAATGCGCCGTCGATGATGTCCTTGGCAAAGTTGCGGCGGTACGTGGCATACTCGTGTGGGGTTTCAGTGTGAAACAAGCGTGCTACTTCGTCGATGGTGGCGTGGACTTGGGTGGACGAGATGTAGTTGATCACTCGCGGGGGTGCAGTCGGGTCTTGGCCGACAAACACCTGGACGTCGTGGTCGTCTTCGAGGAGCGTCCACATCACGGGACCGTGCTCGAGCTGCGAGTAGTGCACCTGAGATAGGTATTAGAGGCCAAGTACGCGGTAGCTGGAGAGGAGTACAGTACCAGGTCCAGCGAAGCTTGTTCGGCAAACTGCTGGAGGAGGAATTCGTCCGTACGAGACAGCGGCGGACATCGGAAGAACGTCGACGGCAGCGGGAACGACGCCATGAAGGACGATGAAGAAGGCACAACGTCAAGTATAAAGCCATCAAACGTTTCCGAGAGCCAAGAGACGGTGACCGAGAATTTCAGTACTAACGTTAGTACATCATGTAGTACTTTTCTTGATTGACCCGAAATAGTTTTGAGGTTTTACTACGTAGTAGTACGTTTAACGCCTTTATCACAAGTTTTATATCAATGAAATGAATTGGCCAATCAAAACGAGCATATCTAAGCAAATTAACCAATCAAATAGCATGTCCTCATTTCAATTTCAGCAATAACCGGCGGCAGTAGCGGGAAGGGCGGCAGTGCATTGATAGAGAAACTTGGTAACTTTTGCAATTTACGAAGTCGATAAAGTTATCGACTTGACCAATTACTGTAGTAACTAATTCATAGTACGTACGTAGTACTGGTATTAATACTAGTACATGGAAAAGATACCTTGATCCATTATGCTTAGAAGTAAGGCCAGCCACAAATTCCACAAACAAGTCAACACCTCATTTATTACGTGGCATCTCAGGATGACGGATACTAGTAAGTACTTACAAGAATGAATTCAAGAGATAACGTTTGATTGCGAAAGGTTCTCTATTACAGTAACTGCAGCTAGCCTTGGCTGGGGCTATGGATTTCAACAATGACACATGGATCCGTGATAAAAGGACTTGTTAAAAAGAAAACTACATGTAGACGCTGATTTGGCAGTTGGTGGGAGTCTCAACGTGGTCGAGCCATAACCGACAGAAACATGACCTTGTTGATGAAGTGCTTCGACTTGCATGTGCTGTGAGGCGGTTCCTCTCCGGGCGCAAGGTAGTACGTCTTCTTGACACACGTGCCGAAGAACCATTTTTCGTCGACGTGAACGTACTCCATCCAGTTGCCAAAGCCAACTTGGCTACCATCCACCACGTGCAGGTGGTCCATCGCCCACTTCACACGCACAACCTTGTTCACATCGGTGAGACTCAGCCGAACTGAGCTTGAGTACTTGACAAAGATGCCCCTCCTGTAGTAGTCGCGCAAGGCATGTTGAGTGCCGCGGCAATGGACCGGAAGATTGTTCGTTTCGACTTTGGCACTGCCTTCATCCTCACAGCCATATTGGCGTGCTTGAGGTTCCGTCCACAGTGGCCTTTGATGCGGGAGGTGACGTCGGAACACTGGCGCCGTTTGTCCTCGTGTTTCACGTCTGCACGGAAACACACATGGCGTACAGTGCTTCTGGCCACATCAAAGTCAACCGCAATATGCGCCACGAGGTAGTGTTGATTGCGCCGTGAAAAGTGCTAGCAGTCGATGGAGGATGGCATTGCGGTCCGTGTTCGTCAGATTCTTGCCACGTTTCCCGCGCATGACAGTTTGAAAGGGTTTGTAGGTGCATATTATTCGGATAAATACTCAATCGTAACCGGATATCCAGTTACGATGCGGAACCTGGAGTCGTCCATGTTATATTGGATAAAGTATTGAGTTTTCGATGCATGATTGGTGGTTTGATTGGATGTTTTTTCGTGCGAAGGTCTTTTATTGGTGATCCATGACTTCTCTACAAATACATACTACAGTACACGTGTCTTTTTATAATGTACATTTGACGAAATTTGACCTCTCACGGCGACCTCTGTGCCAAATCGCGAAATTCGATTGGCTGCCAAAAGCTGGCGCTCTGATCCTGCTTCTATTTACAGTTAAATGAAGCGATTCGTTCATAAATGACAGAATAACAACCACTGAAATTCGATTGGCTGC